CCCCCCACCAGTACACTACCACCGAGCTTCGTGCCGTCGTCAGGCACGTCTCTACACTCCCGCCTCCATCCACCGCTCTCCCTACCATCGACTGGGACGCAGTCGAGCAGGCCAAACTCGCGGCTCACGACGACCGCCAGCACTTCCAAGCGCAACGCGACCTCGCCCGCGCTAGGCAAAACGCGCACGCCAGCGCCTCTTCTAGCCGCTCTCTAGCGGATCGCCTCACTGCCGCCCCGACCTACACCCCCATCGCCCCGAAGCCCGTCACCATCGACTTCTCCCGCTACACGGCCGCCGACCTCGCCCGCATCTTCGCACCGAAATTCGCCGCCACCCTCAAGCGCTTCAACGTGCTCGAATCGCTCGACTGCCCCGACGTTCTAACCGACGACATCAACACCGTCTTCAGGCTTCGCGACCGCCTCGCTCACCTCGATCGCACCCTCAAGGACGTCTCGCGCGTCATCAGCATCGAGGAGTGGAACCGCTGGGATTCAGGATTGAAGCAGATCGGCGGGATCTCGTTCAAAGGACTGCGGCGTAACCGAGTCCAGATTTTCAAAGCACTTCGTGCGGTTTGGGTCAACGGGTACTTCGATTAGAAAGCTGGACGAGTATATAGTCTTCGAATACATAGACTACGACGAGGAGCGAATCCTCGATCCGTACATACTAGATTACGCACTCGACCATCTCGTCGAGTTAGAACTAGTACAATTATTCCTAGAACTCCCTTTCCACTCTCTATAAATCCGTTCTCCGTCCTATCGGACGAATCAGAAACAGTGGCAGACACTCGCTTAGCCTGCGCGGCATTCGCTCACGTCTTCAACTTCGAAGAAGCTCGAGACTACTATTTGGACGAAAGAAGACAGTTAAACACCTGCACAAATTATCTCTGTCCGAACCGCTACTACGAGCACCAAACACAACCGGTCCTCTCCGAAAACCCACCTTACCTGTTCATCAATAGCGAACAGGAAGCACGGATTCGTGAGCGATACCACCTAGAAGAACCCGCCGAAGCAATGGACGTTCCACCCCCAGCACCGCAACCCACCATGCAGGACGTACTAAACCTCATGGTCACACTGGTCCAAAATGTCAATAACCTCACGACAACGGTGAACCAGTTCGTAGCGCATGCACGTCAGCCAGTTGCCACGGTCTCTTCCACCAGGTCCCGGTCCTTCGTCGAGAAACCAGCCACCTTCGACGGAAAGTCGTCCGAAAAAGCCAGATTGTTCCGCAGCGCCTTTCGCGTATACGTCCGAGGGAATAAAGAGATATTCGCCTCACGAAACGCTCAAGACGCCATCATCCTAGACCATGCCGGCAACTGGATAATGGACCCGCTCAAAATGATCACCGGTATTTTATCCTTCATGACGGACGAAGCAGCAGTCTGGGCGCGCCCTCACATCGACGAACTCTCCGACGGTCGTACTCCATTTAACGCCAATTGGGATGAGTTCGTCAAGCAGTTCTCGGCTAAATTCGAACCCGTCGACGCGAAGAACGAGGCCAAGCAGAAGCTTATGTCGATCAAACAGGGCGATCGGACATTTGCGGACTATCTCTCTGACTTCGAGACTTACTCTCGTCGTACCGGCTGGTCAAATAACGACCTCTACGATCGTCTCAAGTCTGGGATGAATTCGGATTACCTTAATAGGCTGTCCTACTTTGCCCCTCTGGCCACCGACTACAACATGGTAAAAAATTACGGAGCAACAATCGACTTGCAGAAAGCAGACTTGGCGGCCAATCAAGGCAAACCAGTCTCGCAGCCCCGGTCGACGACAACGACGCGCTCCTCCGGTTTCCGCGACCCAAACGCAATGGACATCGACGCCATGGACATCTCCGCCGCACGCTTCGACGACCTATTCCAAGGCCTCAAGGACCCTGCGGAGATCAAAAGGCAATACAACAAGCTCATGGTCGGTCGCTGCCGCGTCTGCGGTTCCAAAGGTCACAAGGCAGACGGCGCACACGAGGACACCAAATGCCAACATTGTGGTAAACCCGGTCACTGGAAAAAGCTCTGCCTGTCGAGACTAAACGGACAACCACCAAAGTCGCAATCAGTCCGGGCCTCATCGTCGACAAGCCCCTCGACATCGGCTTCCATCTCTACGTCTCAAGACTCGGCTGCCGACGTAGCCAGTCTCAAAGACATGATGGTCTTAATGCAGAAGCAACAGGCTGAATTGATGGCAAAACTCAGCCAGGGTTTTTAAAAAGGGCCCAGACTAGAGCTGCAGCTCTGGTGCCCGGTTTAGATGAGCGGCCTTCAACAGCGCCGGCTCTTATACATTCGGACTCTGATCCTTCGGACCATATCTCGTCATGTACCGTATCATCAATAGATCATCTCTCGTCTCACTTTCGCGTATTTGTAACAATATCAGGAGTAAATAAATCTCTGCGCACACCTGCTATGATCGATTCCGGTGCCACCGGTTACTTCCTACACGAGAAATTCGCACGAGAGAACAACATCTACAAACGACCACTCAAACGACAGATAGGTCTCCGAAATATTGACGGATCAACTAACAGCGCTGGTGCAATCACACACTACGCCAAACTCAAAGTCAAAATCGGATCGAGAGCTCCCGAAGAATATGACTTCTTTATCACGGATATCGGTCCCGAGAACATCATCCTCGGACTACCGTGGTTAAAGAAAGTCAACCCCACTATAGACTGGGAAACAGGCGAGATGACGCTTCCTGACAGCTCGGAAGCATCGCCTGATTTACCTGCGTCGCCAAGTTTAACTAAAGTCGAAGCTAATCGAGCTGAACGCCGGGCCTGGGTGAAGGCCGGCATACTTGATAACGCTACAGACGAAGTTTATTGCCTAGCAGGCTACACCTACTCTCAGAAAGTAGCAGTCGAACAGAACAAGGAGAAATACTCGAAAACCTTCGAGCAACTCGTCCCCAAAGAGTATCATCGACATGCTCATGTCTTCTCTGAGACAGATTCTACAAGGCTACCTGAACATAGAGCCTGGGATCACGCCATCGATCTAAAATCGGACGCCCCTTCAACGATCCGATCTAAAGTCTACCCGATGAGCCCAGCAGAAAATCAGGAGTTGCAAACCTTCCTGGACGATGCAATCAAGAAGGGTTACATAGTCCCCAGCAAGTCGCCCATCGCTTCACCTGTCTTCTTTATCAAAAAGAAGGACGGCAAGCTCCGACTCATCCAAGACTATCGCAAACTCAACGACGCCACCATCCAGAATAGATACCCACTGCCCCTAGCTAACGATATTATCAACAAACTACAAGGCGCAAGGATCTTTTCTAAATTCGACGTCCGTTGGGGATACACCAACGTCAGGATCAAAGCTGGAGACGAATGGAAAGCGGCCTTCGTCACCAACAGAGGACTCTTCGAACCACGAGTCATGTACTTTGGGCTGACCAATGCGCCGGCGACCTTCCAAGCCCTCATGGACACGATCTTTGCAGACCTCATCGCTGAAGGGAAAGTTGCAGTATACTTGGACGACATCCTCATCTGGTCTTCAGACCTCGCATCACACCGGAAGATCGTACACGAAGTACTAGAACGTCTCAAGGAATACGATCTCTATCTACGTCCCGAGAAATGCGAGTTCGAGAAAGACCAAATCGAGTACCTCGGCTTACTCATCAGCGAAGGATCGGTCAGCATGGATCCAGGAAAAGTGAAAGCGGTCACAGAATGGCCTACGCCCGCAAACCTGAAAGATGTTAGAGGTTTCGTTGGGTTCGCCAACTTCTACCGCAGGTTTATCCAGGACTTCTCTAAGATAGCCCG